ATGAGGGAATCCATGCAAGCAGCGAGCCCCTGCGTGTCGGTCACATATGCAAGCAACTGAGCGTCCCATTCATAAGGGTACCTCGAGATACCAGGTGGTGCCGCCGGGGGCAACTCCTTGGGCAAATCAGGGACCTGCCTCAAGATCTGTACATCCTGCGCCATCATCCGTAGCTGAACTGGACAATGTGGGGTCAAGGTAGAGCCCTCGTCAACCTGCACATACAAGGCAACTCTGGATGCAAGGTTCGTCGAGACCACGAAATAGTCGAGCACCGTGCCAGGCGCGGCCTGTCGACAGGTAGGAGCATCGGGAACGAAAGGAATGGCTGAGGCAGCCGCGGCCCAACTGCATGCTGAACAGGGCAGCGGGCTCGTCGATCCAGTCACCCCCCACGCGCCAATCGTGACCTTCACTGTTTAGCTTCGCCAATGCTTGGGCCATTGCCCACAAGTATGCAGTGCTGGTGGGGCCCAGGCCATGCGTAGTATCCAGATATACACTGCCAACAATAAAACCCCCAGGAACCCCCCAGTGCATACGGGGAAATAGCAGCCTTCCTTGGACCACTTCCTGCTCGGGAAGATTTGGGGCCGAAATCATAATCAGTGCGCGCCAGTATAGCCGCACCTGCGTCCGAGCCCGCAGCCGACGTCGGGCCGGGCGCAGCGCCAGTCCAAAGACCATGCCAACCAAGGTCTCGAGCCTGGGACTGCGCCTGTGCAAGACGATCTGGTAGTACATGGTGCTCCTGCACAAGCAGCGTCTTTGCCTGCTGCGCTGCGTGTAGATACAACGACCCATGCGACGTGACGTTGGCCGTGATCACCTCACCCTTGCACTTGGCATCTGTGGGCGAAAAACATGCGCAACCTCGGATCCCGCCCGCGCTGCGCGAGGCAGCGGCGCGCTCCCCGCTCCTCGCGCCAGCGACGACCCCCAAACTCGGGCCCGCGGCGCCGCCGACGGCAGCGCCGACAGCGGTCTCCGTACAGGGGCCCGCGGCGCTCGGAGGGCCCACGGGCCTCGCGAGTGCCGCCTCCTCAGCCACGCCAGGCGCCAGTGCAACCGCTGGACACCCTGATTCACGTGGCAACATTGCGCCTAGTAGCCCCGATGGCACACTAGGTCGTTGCTCTCTGACGCCTTCCAGCAAACGTGGCAACCTTGAACCTAGTAGCCCTGATGACGCACTCGGAGTTTGCACTCTAACGCCAGATTCCAGCATGCGACATTGAGCTCCAGCTGGCAACTGATCAACATGCGGCGACCTCTGCGTCTCCATAGGCGGCGCGAGTTCGCCGCTCGACGCCGACGCCCCAGCCCAAGCCTTCATCTGTCTCGCCATTGCCCCCAGCCCAGGGGAGGAACGCCCCTGGCCATCTGGGTGAATATTCGTGGGCCACCTCGAAGTAGTAGTCAAACCCGAAGCCAAAGGACATGTGGGCAGAGGGGTGTGACTTCAAGGGGCTGAACCCCCTCTGCCCGAAGTATTTTCATCCTTTCCAAAACCAGTGGATGTCGTAGCCGAAGCGTAGGAGGCCATGACCCTGTGCGCCGCGACCGCAGTAGGCACCTGCTCCAACTGCGGACCAGATGCGTCTACGTCGCTGGCCGCAGCGCGATCGCCACGCAGCCCATAGAAATCATCCAGGTCAAGCCCAGGGTCAGCACGCAACTGCCCAACGTCGTCGCCAACCTCAGATGATACATGGTAGCAGGATCCTGCCATGGATTGCTCAACTGCTTCAAATACAATCCTTAGCACCAACACTAGAAGCAGCGCTTGAGCCCGTGCGCATCTTCTTCGTGATGAGCAGCTTGAAAGACTCGAGCTGGCGCTTGGCCTGCGCCCTGACCTCAGCCTCGCCCTCGGAGACCTGTGCCCCATCGTTGGCAACAAATGCCTTGAGGTCCTTAAAACCCATATCCTCGGGCGCAGGAACCTCAAAGCCAGTCTGAGCAGCAGGTGCATCCACGCCAGAAGGAGGCTGCTGAGCCTGCTGCTGTTGCTGCTGCTGCTGCATAGCCCGCTGCACCTCCAATTGGTCGTCTCTCGCCTTCTTGACTGCTTCAGTCCATGGCTGAACATACTGCACACAACTAGCAGCCAACTGTTCACCGCCATCCAACTGTTGCACAATGGCCTGCAACTGCTCCAAACTCGCTCAGAAGGCTTCAAAAGCAGCTGAGTCGTCAGCAGAAGAAGCACCAGCATGCTGCTCGCGTGTTCTTTGGCGTAACAGCTCCATCTTCCCAAGCTGCAGATGCACCCGCGCCTTTTCTTTGTCGCCCAGCTGCCGCCGAAGATCTTGGACCAACTTTTGCTTCTCAACCCACTACTCCTCGGTGTCAATCGACAGCTTGAGCTTGGCAATCTGCTGGTCGATCCGCTGGAGCTTGTCACCAATGCCATGCACCTGCGTGCCCAGGGGCTTGGACGCAGTGATCTCCTGGCGCATTCTCAGCGTCCACGTAGCCAGAAACGGTACTGGGCTCGACCCCTTTGACTTTGGCAGCCATCTCCAGCGCCGCCAACACTGCTTCGCAAGCTTCCCATTCCTTATGCTTCTTCTGCAGCTCAGGGCCACTTGCCGAATCATTATGGGGCTGCTGCTCAGGAACATCAGCCGCAGGACACTTGGACCGAGATAGCTGCTGAACCTGCTTGCGGAGGGCAGCCAGCTTGCGCAGCACCAGCACCAACACCCCTGGCAGGAGGAGTGCGGTGGCTGGGCACAGGAGGAGCCAGATCAAACTTGTAGACACGACCTCTAGCACCCCCACAGAGAAAACAAGAAGTCGCATCTGCATGGTTATGCCAAGGTTCACCCGTTCGCTGATGCAAACAGAACCTGCAAACCCAACGCTTCGCCTTGGCCGCCCTCTCCCTGGCCGCGCGGCCAACAGGCGGTGCCATGGCGGCCGCAACAAAGTGGTGAGAACCGCAATGATCAGTGAATTGCACGAGTGGCAACTTGGGGCGGACCAGGCGCCGGGAGAAAGACTGTCGGGCACAGGGCCCTGGCACTGCCGCGGACTAGCGGTATCCACTTGGTTCCCTGTGAACCTCATATTCTTGAGCCAAAGTGGCTACGGAGAGTGGAGGAGGAGGCGGAGAAGGAGGAGAAGGAGACGGAGGAGGAGGCGGAGGAGGAGGGAGGTGTTCGTCCTGGGCCCTTCTCGGACAGGCCCCGGGTCCGTGGAGGGCCCAGGGAGGCCATGCACTGGGGAACCACCCCGACCTGTCTCCTCGAGGACCCGCCCGTTTTGCAGCGATCGGCATCCCGCCTGCCGCCCAGTGGCTGACGGCTTGCCTCCCGCTTGGGAGCTGCGCAGCCCCCCCTTCGGCAGCTCTCGCGGCGGCCGCGCACCTTCCAGTGCACCGGTTCTCCGTGCCAGAGGCCGCCTGCGCGCACTCTTTGTGGCGAAGCTTATCTTCGCCCCAGGCCTGCTCTGGCGGCGCGTAGATGGGGGTACTCTGGATGGGGTGTTTATCAAGGGGGGATTAACCTTCTGACTGAGCTTGCCCAGTCCCGCCCACCTCCATCCTTCTCCCCCGCCTCGGCCTCCTCTTCCTCCACTAACCCCCCCTCCACCCATTCCGACAGCACGTGCCCAACCCCCGTCGCGGATCCCGATTCCAGGGGGGGGGGGGGAGCCGATTATTGCCCCATCCGGGGTACGGGGGAGGGGGGGCAGGCTTCTTAGGAGGCTGCTTCTTAGAAGGCGCCGGCCTCATCCACGGATGTAAGGCCCTCGCCTTCTAAGAAGCAGGGGTGCTTCTGAGAAGCCTTTCCCCCTCGCCCTACCCCCCTCTGCGCGCGGCCGACTTCTCACGCGTTCCTCCACGGTCGCCCTCCTCTTTTCCCCAGTTGCCCAGTGTGCGCCAGTCCCCGCGCAGCCCGCCAGCTTTCCGAACGCGCTGGCGACCGCCCTCGCTGCTGACCAAGCAAATTGCTTTGTGGCGACCCTGACTCCGGAACCGCCGTACGGTAGGTCCGTGCGGCGTCGGCGCGCGCAAAGGTTGACGCCGCGTCGATCGTTCAACCTTGAACCGTTCGCGGCCCCGATCGTTCATGGTTGAATTCCGGTCCAGTGGCGTCACCGTGTCCCTCGGTGATTCCGCGTCGCAGAACTCAATCTTGAACGCCTTCGCCGGCGTCGCCAGCGCACCATCGCCGCATGAACCTACTGTACGTTGGGAGATTTTGGCAAGTGGGGCGGAAATGTCCCCCCATTCTTTTAAGCTCCTGTGATGCTTATTTCCGCCCTGCTATGTCGTCGCTGCTGCCGCCATCTGTTGCGGAAACGTCCGCCCTGCTCTTTTCTGAGGCGGATCTGACCGCAATGCTTGTTCGCATCGCTCGCGGTGCGTCTCCGACACGGCTCGACGTCGGAACGCCAACCAGAATGCGGCGGATCCGGCGTCAGGGAGGACCTCCGTCTCTTCCTCCTCCTCCTCCTCCCCTCCTCTCCTCCTCCTTCCTCCTCCTCCTCCTCCTCCTCCCCCCTCCCCTCCCTCCCTTCCTCCCTCCATCCCTCCCCCTCGTCATCGTCGCCGTCGCCGCCGCTGTCGTCGAAGTGGTCGCCGTCGCCACCACTGACGCCGCTCGCTCCCAGGCATCCGGCGTCTCGATTTGTTTGTTCCCCGGGAACGGCTTTTGATCCCGAGCCGTCCTGTGGACTGAGTGTCGTTTCTCCGCCCCCCGTCCCCAGCGGCGTGGCCTGGGCCCCACTGGCCGATGTACCCCCCCTGGATGGGGATATAGGCCGCTCCCTTCGGGTTTCGAGGGGTGTATCCCCAACTGGGGTGGTAATCTGGTGGGGGGCCCCGAAGGGGATGGGGATGGGGATGGGGATCGGATAAAGGATACTGGTGGGCGGCCCTGAGGCCCAGCACCAGGCCCTGCGAGGCCGAAGACGACGAGAAACCTCCGTCGCGACGCGAGCCTCGAGGCCCCAGATGGCTGGGCCCGCTCCGGTGCCATGCCTCGCTCCTGGGCGACCGACCCGGCGGGGCAGAACATGCCCGCGGGGCAGACCTCGATCTGGATCGAGCCTGGGGA